GACTGCATTAGAACTGCAGTCCGTGGGAGCATAAGCAGAAATCACAAACAAACAGCGTTTTGTTTTACTTCGCGAATTCACCTTAGCTGATGTCGTCAAACGGGCTGCACATAAACGGCTGTTCACCGGAATCCAATCAACCAACGATGACTCAGCCTTGGAGCTGAGAATGATACCTACACCAGCTTGACCCGTGAGTGCCGCATCGGCGTCTCCGGATGCGTGCAACCAATAACGAGAGGATAAGCCGGGTGCAGTCAATTCAATAACCCCGTTAGGGTCATTAATCCTAGTTTCGGACACACAACACACATCAACACCCAGTGTGTCTAAGGTGCGTGCGAGTGCAGCCTGCTGACCTGTTTGTCTTAGAGTGCGGACGTTGAATGTCGCCATGGTAACGGGACAGCGTGGCCTTATAAGGAACTTTTGCCGATAGGCGTCCGATACGTGCTGTGGGATGGTGGCTGCAGATGGTTCTACTCCAGTAGCACTTCGGTTGCTGTCAATTAAGCTGGGAATTATAGAAGGAAGGTTAGTAATGGGGGCCGGGATGGGAGTAAGAGAAAAAGGTGGAAAAGAAAGAAGGGAGGCGCCAGCAGTAGCATGCTTTCGCTTATCCGCCCTGCTGTATGCAGCAGATAAGGCGACCCTTGATAATCTGCGCGACGGCCGATGCAGGATGAAATTTATGTTTGAAGAGAATGTCATGGTTGTATGTGGGCTGGGATACTGCCAGGGCGCCCAGACCTAGACAGGAGAACGATTAGGGTCCTCATCCAAAGCCTTTGGCTCAAAAGCCTGTCCGCAAGGCAGCGGGGTGGCAGTGATTTAGTTTTACAGAAATGGACGCCATCCCATTTCAAACCCCCAACCTGGAGGACCAGAAGACTGAGTTTGTCTGACCTCTCACCATTGACCAACCTGGTAGGAGTAGCTCTCAAGATGCTCGGAGGCATCACCCAGTATAGCTCAATGGGTCAATGAGGTATGCAAACCGTCGCACCACGTTAAGGTCCAGTCTCGTTGCGACGGCTGTGCTCTTAACCCTCTTTTCCTAATGAGTGGAATATAGGGTGCGGAAACCTCCGTAAGGTATGC